ATCAAGATTTTTTCAAAAACACTTTTGGGGTTGCACACCAAGTGTTCGACTAAATTCCTCAAATAGTTTTGAAACTTCAAAGTGAAATTTTCTAAAGATCAAAAGACTCCAAGTTTGTCCAAAGAAGCTAAAAGCAAGGGAATTGCATCCGCTAGAGCTCCAAATTGTGCTAGAACCGGCATTGTTATTCGTGAGCCTCAAATGGAGTCACACACTCCTCTGGATGCACCATCATATCCCGTGGCGTCTAGCTATCCTACACATGAGATTCCTACTGGGTATCCCTCTATTTCTACCACTGGAAGGATAGAATTCACTATAGAACACTTCTATAATGAACATGCCTGGAAAGAATACAATGACGTCTACAAAGATAGGCTGATCAAGACAATAAGGAATGTGCGTCTAAACAAGCTAAGGGATAGCGCAGGCAAGAAGCTTATGGACTACATTGAGAAGTATAATTGGCAATTCTTCACTCGGATGGAAGGAGGCTTCTCACCGGATATGGTTCATTATTTATATTCCAACATCCGCAAAGTTAGTGATGTTTACGTTGTAGTGTCAATCTTTGGCAAAGACTACCTAGTACGTGAAGAAGATATTTGTGATATTTTGGGAGTTCCTAATAGGGTTGGAAGTTCAGGATATATCTTGCCTATTTAAAGTCCGGGTCCAAAATTGCCTAAAATTCATAACACTCTTTGTGTTCCTGGATGCCCAAGGTATGATCATTTCATTCCATCTTGTCATCTCACAGATGAAATGGCATTCTTAAATTTGTTTGCCATGGCGAATCTTGGATATTTTGGGAAAAATGATGAAATTTCATTAGAGAGAGCTCAAGTTCTATATCTGCTTGCAACGGGGGCACAAATCCATATTACACCATCTATTGTGCAATTAATGATGGCTTATTACAAGAAAAATTCCCATAGGAAATCCTCTCCCTTTCCAATGGTGAATATGGGGTTCTACAAGAAGAATAGAATTTTGATTCCTCCTCAAGCTTATCATCAGAACATCATGACTGAGTTGGATCTCCGCATTTTAAACAAGTCTAAGACTGCTAGGGAAAATGCAAGAAAGGCACAACGAGGCACATATGAAACATCATCTCAAATTCCGGATTCCAACAAGCTCTTTTCTTCGAAAGGAAACTTCATGAGGGATAACGCTAACTTGATATACTCCTCACTTATTCAAAATTAGAATGCTTTATTTGAAAGGATCATGGATAAGATACGAGATCTAAGGGTAGAAGTGAAGATGCTTCGGACACAGCAATCGGGTGGTTCTATAAAGGATGTTTACAGACTTGAACCTCCATAGACAACCATGGGAGATTAGGATGATAATGAGGAGGATGGGAGTAATGATGATGATGGTGGTGATGATGTGTTGACCACTACTATTCCATTTGATGGGGATAATCTTGATGATTGATTTTCTATGTTGATTATCAGTTATCTTTCGGATATTATTTTGTTTACGATGTGTGCTTACTTGCTCATATAGTCATATGCATCATGTTTTTGTTTCTTGGGTGACATTTTCATTATTCTGGAACTTCATTTTTGTGATACCCCTCGACTCTAGAGCCACGGGTGATCAAGTCCGAGCACAAATCTGAGGGATATCAAACAATTAAGTATATAAATAAGCATAGAATACAAGAAAAAATTTAAAGAATAAATAAGCTGAAAGAAATCTAAATGATAATCCTTAAAAAATTTAATTAAAGAATCCAATACTTCCAAAACCTCCAATATTATTACAACTCAGGAATCCATCTAGTGGACCCCTAATAATATCCCAACAGAAAAATAAGCAGAACTAAAAATTGAAATCCAAGATTAAAGCATAGATAATAATCCTACATAGTCGGAAGAGTGAGTGACTGTCTCTGCTCAGTACGAACAAGTTCTAAGACTAGAACCGTCCGATACCTGAAAAATGATAGTGGGTCAGGCCCACGAACAAGTTCTACTCTATTACAATCCAAACATAGACTCAATACGCAGATACATCCTAGACAACTCAACAATAGCTAAATAGTCTATATATATATAAATACACACTATAGGATGCTCACTAGGCCATAGGCCTGTCGTAACCTGAATAGAAGGTAACATGCAAATCGCATATAAAATGGGCACGTATACCTAGACCTACTAGGGGACTAGATGTTATTATGTCCAGTTATCCATCCTAAGCAATATACGCACTCTAACTATGATCCTAAGACTCAAGCTCATATCATGGTTCGTAACTATATATATATAAATATAGTCCATCCTAATCCAAAACATAAAAACAAACATCCAATATTGTTGGCCTAAGGATTTTATCTAAAGGTCAATCTTATGTTTTGATGATTACAAACCATTAATGATGTTTAAGTACTAATATTTTCATTGAGTAAAGTATAGTTGATCAATCATTGAGTAAAGTAAAGTAAGTACTAGAAAGCAATAAAAGGATAACGCCACTTTCGTAGGGAATATGATTGCATTTAGCGTATGCAATAAGCCTTTTAAGACCCTAGGTTACCCCTAGTGGACGAGTAAAATCTCATGAGGGTTTCTAAAAATAATACCCACAAATATGGAGCTCTTTCTCACAAGAGAGGAACCAATATACAAAATAAGCATTGGGAGAAGATTACCTCAAGTATGCAATTTTCCAACCATTTCCAAGTAATCTCCCAAAATCTCAACATCAAGCAAGCAAATATAGTCCTCCACACATCAAGACAATGATTATGCAAATCAAACTCTAGAATTCTTTTTAAGTGAACTGGCATCAAATATATTACTATCTAAGCCAACTAAAGAAATGATCATATCCTTACCCTCAAACTAGCACACAAATCTAGTACCGATCATCAAAACAAAGAGTGAACCTTTTATTAAAGCTTTATTCAACTAGGTGCGCTTATTCTTTTCACTCGATTTTTTTTTTTTTTTACTAACCTAGAGGATCAAAGATGGAAGTATGGTGCAATGTAGTAATCTATTAAGCTTTCTAGTGATCTATGAGGTCGAGCGTTAAATCAATGACTCCTAAACCGGACGGCTTTAGGGCATTAGGTGTTTAAACACCCCTAAGGATTTAGAAGCTTAAATCGACTAGACTACAAATTAAAAATACCTCCATCTAATCATTTCCCACTTCTCACTTATGGGAGAAGTCCTCACTTTTTTATTTGCTTTTACAACTTCTTCTTTTTTTCTTTTTTTCTTTTTTTTTTCCAAGTGATTAAGGTAGAATTTGGGCCCTCCACCTTTCGGCGCGAGAAATTCAGTACTTGATGAGGCTAGAATCCTGGCTACTCAATGAAAAGGGATTGTTATCCACTTTTATCAAGATGAAAGCTTTCAATGCACTACTAGCTCAATTGGGATATAACCAAATCAATAATCAACAAAGCATGTACCTCACAAATGAATGCTAGCGTGCGCCTGTGCTAGTGTAGAATCCTAAAGTGAATCTCAAAACAATCACAAGATCAGGATGATGTGGACCATAAATGCAAGCAAGATATCAATCTTTCAAAAAAATTTACTCCTAGGTGGCATTCACAAGGCATACAAGGAGTATTGGACTCTCAAGTCAAGCAATTTTTAAATTCTAAGTATCATGGTCCTCAAAAGATCAAAATCATAGCCCAAGACTCTCAAATCATACCACATGCATAGAAATCAAGTGCATTATGTAAAATATGCTAACACACCCCCAAACTTAATCTGTGCATTATCCTCAATATGCAAAGAAGTAACAGATAATGGAAAGAGTATACCAAATGGGTAAAGCAAAAGGGACTCGACAACAGAAGCTTAGCTTTAGAAGGCGCACCTCCAAACTTAGATTCCGAAAACTTATTTGAAAATAGTCACACTAGCAATAGTCAAAGTGTATGCATCCATGATATAAATGAGAGGTGAAACTGACAACTGGGCAAAAATCATGGTATCTAGCAATGTAAAGCATAGAATAGCAAAAATTGATATCAATATCCCAAAAAAAACATATATAGCAAATAAATCCAAGATCAAATATCAATAAATCAGTGTAGCTGTGCTATGCAAAAATAATATCCAAAATATCCAAACCTAGTGCAAGTGTCAAGATAGTGTAAAAATATCTCAGCAATAATAGTGCAAATATCATATAATGAGGAGGAGAGAAAGGTGGAATCAAACAGTAAGATCTGGAGTAATCATGTCTACAATATACTAGAGCATGGCAGACATCTCGGTGTTGTGACGAGTGAGAGAAATGGTAAGGTCTATCCTCAAAGCGCCAAGCTCATGTCTCATCTCAGCTACCTCAGCTCTCAACTCATCAGATTGCCGAACTAAATCATCGTGTCTCCCCACCAAGTCGTCATGTCTCCTTACCAAATCATCATGCCTCCTCATGACATCCTCGTGTTGCCCAGTCATATCAGCTCTAAAAGATATGAACACTACAAGAAAAGTGGGCTTTTATGACATAGTATTTACGGGGCTTCTTTATTTTGCCTCGTGATTACTACCATTTACGGAGTTTTTAAAAGAATCCTCATAATTGTTACGTTATAAGGCATATTTTCACGAGGATTTAGTAGAATCGTCGTAGAAAAAGTATTTTTACGATGTATTAAAGAGCCCGTGAATATTTAGATATATTTACGGTATATTTGTACACCTTTAACGGGATAAATGTTTCTGGTTGATAAAGCTCTAAAATTTCACATTTAAGGCTTTTTTTTCGTAAATAAGCAATAAAACTACAATTAATAAAATCACTTAAAAAATATAATAGGAAAGAATGAAAAAAATGAACTTCCGTTATATTTAAGAGCTCGTGGATAAATTTCACATCAAGAGGCTTTTTTTGCGCTGTAAATAAGCAAATAAAAGTTCCCAGAGGAATAGCCCTTCTCTTCCCTTCATTTTTTCCCTCCGCTGATTTATATGCATTTGATTATTTGGGCCCTAAACTACGTCATTTTTTTGGGGCCAATTAATACACTGTAAAACACTTTCCCATTTCATTTAGCCCTAACGCTCTCTCCTCTTCCATCACCGATCTCGCCCTTCCATCACTGATCTCGCCCTTCCATCACTGGTCATCGTAGCTCTCTGTCCTTCCATCACTGGTCATTACAACAATCTTATAATCCATTTTGTTTTTACTTTGATTCTCTTGTGCTCCGTTTGGTTGCTGAGGAAACACCCAGAAATGGAAAGAAAATGAAGAACGACTGAAGCATAAGAATGAATTTTTTTTTTCCTTTTCATCTCCTCAGTTTTCGTGGCAACAATAGCGAGCAGTAGAATGATTTCCGTAGCAAACTCTCTCTTCGTTGATCTCCATATATCTATATAGTTAGTATTTTAATCATTTTTTTACCTAAATCTATACATATGTGTATGTGTTTTTATGTATTAATCTGTTGTTTAATCGATTCCTGAATTTTTTTTTTTTTTCATTTGATGAATACATGACTCATCTTTGCGATTTTGATGTTAGAGTTGGGCCATAGGAGTTCAATTTTTGAAGAGGATGCCTATGAACAGGATAGGGATTTCAATTTTGTTGATGTATTTACGAAATTAGGGTTAGGGCTTTGATGTGTAGTACAAAATTGGGGTTAGGGTGGGGCGGCGATGCCATTGAACCAGGTGTGGCAAGGCATGAGTTTCAGTGAAGCTCTAGTATTCCGACAAGGTATGAGTTTCAGACAGAGCAACGGTGGCACCAGAGGAGACTCGAGGATTAAGAAGAGAAATGTAAGATTCTTCTACCTGTTTCTATTTTTGTTGGTCTAAGTTACGATTTTTAGATCTTTTTCATTTTCTGTGTGGTTTCAGTCTAGCATATTTTATTTTATTTTTAGTATTTTTTTATTTTTTTATCGATAACATCTATACAAATTTCGCTGAAATATATAAATGTATCATTTTCTTTGCGTATCGGCCATGCCGACGTCGGAGGAGAAGTCCAAAATTGCCATCGCCATTCGTCCCAGCCCTACACACCTCAACAAGCCTAGGGTGCGCGCGCTCTCTCTTTCAACACAACACTAACATCACCTAACTGTAGGAAAATATCACATGTTCACTGACTGATAAGTGAAACAGAATCGCAAAAATAGGTAAGATTTTTTATCTTCTAAATTTTTGGTCTCATTCCAATCAATATTTATATGCAAAAGTGGGTCCAGAATTGGTTTGTTATCAACCTCAGAATTTTCTATTTTTTCATATTATCGCGAATTTCATTATGGAGAAAATTAACATACAGAATTTTTTTGTTTGATGGACTTGTTTTTAAGATTCTTATGGAATTGCAGAGAGAGAGAGAGGAAAGAGATTCATTTGGTCTGGGATATTTGTAGGTTGTTGCATTAGAGTCTAGGTTTGTGTATATTATTTTTTGAGGTACATGGTGGTGCTGGAATATGCAAGTACAATTTGATACATCCCTCTTTGATATATATATATATATGTATATGTATATATATATTAGGGGTTTTGGGTTTATAATTCTATCAATTAATCCTTTGCTTTAATTGGTTGCTTTTTCAGAATTTCTGTCTGCTTATCCATCAATTAATTTGTTTGTTTTTTTAGATATATATGTGGGGGGGTGGGTTGTTGTTGGGGGGTGTGATTCAACCTTTTTTCTCAGTTAAGTTGATCTTGCAATGGCAAGGTTAATTAAGGAATTAATTTTGATTTGCACTATCTTGATTTGATATTTAATTACTTTTGCTTTCATTTTGTTGCAACTGTGCTATTTTATATACATACAGACATTTATATTTCATATTAAATTACTTGTATTTTATTTCTTGATTTACTATCATAATAATAATCAACCCTTTGCAATAGCACAAATCATTGTAAAATAGGGCTATTAGACGGGTTAGTCGAACCACTGGGAATGCTAGTTTATGGCAAACAAGGTTGTTAGATTCACTTTTAGTTTAATGAAGGTGGTGGAGAGTTTGTTTTGTTTTTATCACTTAATACCTAGAATTAAGATTATGCATAAGACAATAGTTTCAAGGAAATTAAAGGGAAAGAAATATAAGTAGAGAGGACTAGGGAAGTGAATCCACTACCACCCTATACACATGCTAGATTATGATTAATTTGGGGAAAACAACATATATAATGGTCATGATATGTAGCAACACATGGTTGCTACATTATCTTCAAGGAGTTCATTAAATTAAAAGGCAAGAATAAACTATCAAAGGTCCACATGTTTGAACTACCTAAATAAGGGTGTAGCCTTCAACATGCTCACTAAGCCAAAGATTATCAAGCCATTAATTAAATGATGAAAGCACATAAAGTTAGGAATCAAGTATAGACCATCAAAGGGGGAACCTAAGCCATGGACTATCAAGGTTCTCCAACTTCATGCCATTAAAAACCATTCCATGATCTCATTTTCATTGTCACTATGAAAGTGCAAGCAATATGATTACAAAAATAAACCATCTAAGACAAGATAATTAGCTCAAAATAATCATTCATATACATTAAAATCCATTACAAGAAGTAAGGTGCTTTAGATCATGAACAACCAAAACTATACATCATTACCCCAAAATTAGAATCTAAACTAGAACATGCTTACAAGGAGGGCTTCATCACCTCCCTAGATAGAGAGTTAGTTACCCATAGAAGCAATGGTGGAAGGAGAAAGCTTAGAGAAACCTTCCATTTTCGCACCTCAGCCTCCCAAGAGGCACCACCCACAAGCTCTAAATATTTCTCTCTCTAAAACTTGCCAAAATGTGTGGTGATCCATAATACAAGCTTCCCCCCTTCTTTTGTAGACAAGATGTCTACCAAACCACCCAAAAACTGAGGTCCATGTCCCCTGAAGGTCTTTTACCAACAACCCAATTAAGGAGGAAATCCAAATTAAAAGGTTCAAGGAGACAATTGGGTCTGTAGTGTGTTTACGAGCTCTCGTAGATCGCAGCACGAGCGCTCATAGATGCCTTAGTAACATTTTCATGGCTCGAGACTTCATGGACGAGCGCTCGTAAGTGGAGCTATGAGCGCTCGTAAGGGCCTTTCTTCCTACTGCCTTGAATTGGAGCGCTCGTAGGAAGTACGACTGCTCGTATGCATCTTAGTTCATTCTGCCTCAAGTTAGAGCACTCGTAGGTGGTACGAGCGCTTGTGTGACATGGCGCGCGCGTTCCTGGTTGCTCACGAATGACGTACGAGCGCTCGTAGAATGCAGTACGAGCGCTCGTAAATGCTTTGAACTTCTTTCACTTTGATCTTGGCTTTGGGTCATTAAATATCATCTGCCCTTTTGTTTTGTAAAGAGTATTTATGAACCCACTTTGGCAATTTCTTCTTGGAAATCAAAGGATGCAAAAGCCCAGAATGACTTGTTCTTCAAAAAGCTTTCGAAAGCTTCCATTTTATTTTCTTTTGGAAGACAAACCTGAAAATACACAAAAACACGGAATTGGAGATAATCTATACAATTAAACCACTAATGGACTTAACAAATGCAAATACGGGCGCTTGGATATGCAATATTCGGCGTTTATCACATCCCCAAACTTACATTTTGCTAGTCCCATAGCAAAACCAAAATGAAGCACTCAATGAAATGACAACCATTGGAATGCTACCCAAAAAATATCAACTATGGTGCAATAAAATACATAGATCAAATATAACTTGAAATAGACAGAGAACTGGAGACGGGATCATTAAGCAGACTACCTTGCATATATGAAGCCTTGATACAAAAAATGGCTAAGCACATTTCAACTCTTATGCATCAACATCATAGTCTATATAAATAATTCAATTGTCATCTCTTGAATAGAAATCAACTCTAGCTTCAGTGAAAGTGAACCGGATTCCCAACATGTGGCTTTTACCTTCTCTTTCCAATTTGAAGACACAAGTCTTCAAATCATTCAATTCCCTTTTAAATGAGGTCACTAAGGCATGAATTTATTCAAATTACAACTTTTGTTGCTTTTTTTTTTTTAATACATATTATGGTCGTGCAATGCCGAAGTCCTTTAAGCTTTCTAATCAACCCATGTAGCAAACGTTAGGCCAGCAACTCCCAAATCGGACAGCTTTAGGATGCTAAGTGTAAAATCACTACTAGGGCTTAATAACTTAAATTGGCAAGGTTACGAACTCCAACGAACCATATTAATTTATTTATTTTTATTTTTTGTGAATGACCGTGCAATGCCTAAGTCCCTTAAGCTTTCTAACTAACCCATGTAGTAAGCGTTAGGCCAGCAACTCCCAAACCGGACGGCTTCAGGGTGCTAAGTGTAAAGACACTCCTAGGGCTTAATAACTCGAATCAGCCAGCCTACGAACTTAAGCTAGTCATTATCTTCTTCTTCTTTTTTTTTTCTATTTTTTAGTTAGAAAGTTATCATGCAAAAGATATCCATTCATTAGGGTCATCAAATCAAATCAACTGAGTCAAGGTCAAGGTCAATCAGGTTGCATGCCTCACAATTGAGTTTCCGGTGTGCATCTGTGCAATGTGAAGCATAGAAGAGTTTGAAATCCGACGAATATCTAATTGAAGCATTTATACAAACCAGTTTGAATCAACATGATCATTTCAAGATTTACTTTATTTTCAAAAACTATTATTTGCCTCTATACATAAAGTATTAAACACATGCTTCAATCTCCAACAATTTCCAAGATTACAAGATCATTGCTTCCCAAAAATGATTTTATTAACTTACATGCATCAAGTTAGCATATGCAAACAAAAATGCAATACCAAAAGGTACCCCCAAACTCGAAGGTCACATTGTCCTCAATGTGTGAAGACAAGTAAATCAAAATAAGAGCAAAGAGGGTAAAAGAACAATAATACCAAGTGGAGTGACGAAGGCAAAGGTTTCCATCTATGTGAATGCGCAAATGTTTCCCCCAAACTTGGACATGAAGACCTGTCAAAACACAACTAATATACACATGTAAAAGCATAGGTCTCTTAAGAAAAACCAAAACAGAAATAATAACACTAACATGAATTTTATTGAAAGATAAAAATCCATAAAAAACATAAATTTGCACACATTAGCCAAAAGTTTAAAACGGATAACAAAATAATGCGAAAAGCGGTGCCATTTAGAGAGATGAAGTTGTCTTAGGCAATTCGTTGAACACCTGGTGTGCAAGACAAAAAGGAAGAGAGCTAAGGTTACCAAAGGGGAAGCAAAACTAGAATTGTTCTTTTTTGTGCGAGAATGGACCCTTTGCCAACAATCAACATCAACAACAACCCACAAGCGTCAAAAAATTTAATCCCCATACTCCTCAATATCAAGATAAAGGAAAAGAAAAAATAAAAGTTGGAGGAGAGCATACCTTCGAAGAAGAACCAAGAAGACTCAAGAAACTTAAAGGGGATGAGAAGGGAGGGTTGAAGGGGTTGGGTATTTAAGGGAGATGAGAGCATGAAGGAGGAAGAGGAAGGGGTAGGGGAGTTATGGGAGTGTACATGCATGGGGTGGGTCGTGGGGGTGAGGGGAGTGAATGTGGGAAGGTGAAGAAAGATAGAGAGAGGGTCGATTAATAAAGGGGGCCGAGACAGGACGAGCGCTCGAAGACGGGGCTGAGAGGTTTGGACGAACTACGAGCGCTCGTGAGGCACCTGATTGCGAAGAGGTAGTGGTTTAGACGTACGAACACTCGTCTGCTTGGACGAGCATTCGAAAACGGGACAGTGGGGCATGATGGATCTACGAGCACTCGAAAATAATGGAACGAGCGCTCGAAAACGAGGCAGTGCTCCCTTTTGAAGATACGAGCCCTCGTAGATGATGGTACGAGCGCTCGTCCCTACCTGGCACAAAATTTTTGAATCCCATGAATGCTGGATTTTCATTCTTAGCTGAATGGAATCGGTATCGAGGTCCGAGAAAATTGCCAATGTAGAACTTAAGTTCTTATGGACCCAGGACACCTCGAAAGACCTTCGGCATGGAAATCGGAGCTCATTTGCAAGAGTGCCAATTCTAGGGTCCGAGAAAATTGCCGGATTAAGCTTGAAAACTGCCGGGAATGGTAGTGAGAGTCGCAGAATGCCTAAGAAAGCCTAATCAATAAGAGACAGTTCCGGAGAATGTCAAATTTTTGGCTTTCCTTAGCGAATTTCTAGAAAATTCATGGCTCATGCAATTTAGAAGAGGGAAGCTTGGAAGTAGAAAGAATTGTTCACGTGAGTGCTAAATTTAACGTCGATAGCTAGACGCACTAAGATCAGGTTAGTCCTCATTACCCTATACCATGTCTCTCTAGAGAGTCATGCTTCCCTAAATAAGAAAGTTCTTTTAGAAGTGGAAGAAAAAGAGCTTGAAGAAAAAATTTGAAAAGAGGTAAAGGAAAGACCTCAACCCACTCTTCTTCCTCAATGAAGAACTTTGGATTATGGGAAGATGGATAAAGTGAGGGCACACCTAGCAAAGGTTTGTGAAAGATCATATTTAGCATGGGAATGCCCGAAAAATTATCCTTCAAACTTTCAACATCCTCCTCACACTTATCCGGTGGTTAGGGCTCAACAACTTGATATAACTCAAGTGAGGGAATGGGAGGAGATGCAAGCTCCCAAGAAAGAGATACATTTGATGTTGCCCAAGGAATAGAGTGAATGGGTGGAGGAATATCAAGCAAAGAATTTACCTCCCAAATAGAATTGTCAACTTCAAAATCCTCACAATTGAAATGAGCCAAGCAAGCTTTTAAAGGATCCTCCATTGAAGGAGGTGTATCAAGTGAAGGATTCTTTAGGGGCTGTTTTGGATTTTTAAAGAAGACAATCTCTTCATCATTATTTTTCTCATTTTGAACCACAAATTCTTCAATGTTTTGTGTGGCAACAATTTGATCTTCGACCACAATTTCTTCATTTTCACATGTGGTAACCACTTGATCATTCTCATGATGAAAGTTACTTGGAGTAATCTCATCATTCATTGAATTTCCTTTTGGACTGGCCACAAGTTCAATGGGAAATTCTTCTTCCTTTTCATGATTTAGAGCATTAATCATTTGTTGAATTTGGGCTATTTGGTCATCTAACTCAACTCCAGATTGGGAATGAGAATAGGTGGTAGATTGCATGCTAACAGTGTCATCCAACATTTGCTTGTTAGAATCCATCATTTGCGTGCTGATAGACTCCATCATTTGTTTGTTGGCAGCAATAAACTCATCTAATTGAAACGGTGAAAAAAGGGAAGAGGGCTGGAAATCATGATCATTGGGTTGAAAATTGGCGTGAAAATGTTGCCCATGAGATTGTAGGGCAGAATTTCCCATGTCATGCCACAAGAAGTTTTGATGATCTCCCCAACCCGAGTCATAACCATTGAAATATGGATCATTACCCGATTCAAAGAAATTTTCAGTTAGTTGCTCTAGATAAAAATCTGAGAATTGTCCCGGTGGAGGACAATCTCTTGTATGATGTGTATGACTAGAGCAAAAAGCACAAAACTCATGTGGCGTGTAGAATTGAGTTGGAAGATAATTACCCTCCATCTATGACTAATTCAGCCACTTTCTTAGATACATTAAGGTAAATTCACATAAAATATATACAACACAAAAATGAATGTAAAACTAGAACATCAAACACTTACCCGGAGTCCTTGAGATTTCAAGTTTTCAGCTTCCCCTTAGCGAGTTTTGAGTTCTTAGGATCACACAGAAACATACAAAAACACAAAACAAAAAATATACACAAAACTAAATATTCATAATCAAACAAAAGGTAATCTTTAAAACCTCGGTCACAAAACCGTTTGCAATCCCCGGCAACGGCGCCAAAAATTGATCGGTCGTCGACTATCACAATAATAATCAACCCTTTGCAATAGCACAAATCATTGTAAAATAGGGCTATTGGACGGGTAAGTCGAACCACTGGGAATTCTAGTTTATGACAAACAAAGTTGTTAGATTCACTTTTAGTTTAATGAAGGTGGTAAAGAGTTTGTTTTGTTTTTGTCACTTAATACCTAGAATTAAGATTATGCATAAGACAATAGTTTCAAGGAAATTAAAGGGAAAGAAATATAAGTAGAGAGGATTAAGGAAGTGAATCCATTACCACCCTATACACATGCTAGATTATGATTAATTTGGGGAAAACAACATATATAATGGTCATGATATGTAGCAACACATGGTTGCTACATTATCTTCAAGGAGTTCATTAAATTAAAAGGCAAGAATAAACTATCAAAGGTCCACATGTTTGAACTACCTAAACTAGGGTGTAGACTTCAACATGCTCACTAAGCCATTAATTAAATGATGAAAGCACATAAAGTTAGGAATCAAGCATAAACCATCAAAGGGGGAACCTAAGCCATGGACTATCAAGGTTCTCCAACTTCATGCCATTAAAAACCATTCCATGATCTCATTTCCATTGTCACTATGAAAGTGCAAGTAATGTGATTACAAGAATAAACCATCTAAGACAAGATAATTAGCTCAAAATAATCATTCATATACATTAAAATCCATTACAAGAAGGAAGGTGCTCTAGATCATGAACAACCAAAACTATACATCATTACCCCAAAATTAGAATCTAAACTAGAACATGTTTACAAGGGCGGGGTTCATCACCTCCCTAGATAGAGAGTTAGTTACCCATAGAAGCAATGGTGGAAGGAGAAAGCTTAGAGAAACCTTCTATTTTCGCACCCCAGCCTCCCAAGAGGCACCACCCACAAGCTCTAAATATTTCTCTCTCTAAAACTTGCCAAAATGTGTGGTGATCCATAATACAAGCTTCCCCCCTTCTTTTGTAGACAAGATGTCTACCAAACCACCCAAAAAACGAGGTCCATGTCCCCTGAAGGTCTTTTACCAACAACCCAATTAAGGAGGAAATTCAAATTGAAAGGTTCAAGGAGACAAGTGGGTCTGCAGTGTGTTTACAAGCGCTCGTAGATCGCAGCACGAGCGCTCGTAGATGCCTTAGCAACATTTTCATGGCTCGAGACTTCATGGACGAGCGCTCGTAAGTGGAGCTATGTGCGCTCGTAAGGGCCTTTCTACCTACTGCCTTGAATTGGAGCGCTCGTAGGAAGTACGAGCGCTCGTATGCATCTTAGTTCATTCTGCCTCAAGTTGGAGCGCTCGTAGGTGGTAAGAGCGCTCGTGTGACATGGCTCGTATGCATCTTAGTTCATTCTGCCTCAAGTTGGAGCGCTTGTAGGTGGTAAGAGCGCTCGTGTGACATGGTGCGCACGTTCCTGGTTGCTCACGAATGACGTACGAGCGCTCGTAGAATGCAGTACGAGCGCTCGTAAATGCCTTAGACTTTATTTTTCTTTTCTTCTACTTTGAACTTCTTTCACTTTGATCTTGGCTTTGGGTCATTGAATATCATCTGCCCTTTTGTTTTGTAAAGAGTCTTTATGAACCCACTTTGGCAATTTCTTCTTAGAAATCAAAGGATGCAAAAGCCCGGAATGACTTGTTCTTCAAAAAGCTTTCAAAAGCTTTCATTTTATTTCCTTTTGGAAGACAAACCTGAAAATACACAAAAACACGGAATTGGAGATAATCTATACAATTAAACCACTAATGGGCTTAACTAATGCAAATAAGGGCGCTTGAATATGCAATATTCGGCGCTTATCAATTTTCTTTTCCCATCTGTTAAAAGGGATGTATTAATTTTGAATGTTTTTAGTGAGTGATGAAAGCCTTCTCCTCAGTTTAAACTGATCTTTCAATGAAAAGGTCAATTTGTGGTTACATTTTGATGTGCACTATATTGATTTCATAGTTAATTACTTTTGCTTTTATTTTGTTGTAACTGTGCTATTGTATATACATTCAGACATACATATTTCATATTTAAGTACTTTTGGTTTAATTTTGTCGCAATTTTGCTATTGTATATACATTCAAACATACATATTTCATATTTAATTACTTTTGTTCTATTTTGTGTGTGCTAAATTGCTAATGTATATATTTGGATCAAATTTAGATGCTATATTTACCTGTTTATTAGAAGGATATATGTTATCAATTTTAGGAGAAATTTGTTTTGATTTTGTGTTCCGTCTGTTAAAAGAATAACTTACAATCTTATTATTTGGATTAATTGTGTGTGTTATTGTATATTTCTTCCTTTGTGCCTTTCGACCAAAATATATATATATATATCTTCCTACGTTCGTTACATATTCAGCCAGCATTTTGCTCTAAATCCAACTTGAAGCTAAGTTGGATTTCTGTCAGGGTCCATATGCTTGGAGTTCCACTGAAATTGCTATCTGCCTAAAATAGAACTTCTGGTTTAATTTCAGGGAAGAGCTCTGAATTCAATTCTTGATGGAGGAGAAGGCTAATGCAATTCAACAAAGTAACAGGCTTCGTCAGGAACTGGTGAGGGATTCATATGACTTCATTCTATACTATTTTATATTCTTCTTTATTATTTTTCTTATAATTACATCACGCATTCATTAGTTTATAAGCTGGAATACTTCTAATGTCCTTTCAACATGGTATCTTTGTCTTCCCTGCCTTATGTCCAACTTATTTTTTTAGTGTTTTGATCATGTATATCTTTATATGAATATATATCTATATCTATGTGTGTGTGTGTGTGTGTGTGTGTATTTTTGGTGTCAGTGATTTAGCAAAAGGGCATAAGGCTAGAAATATGTAAGTTACATTCTATAAAGAATCATTGTATGGGATAAAGCAATGTTTAGGAATACCATTAGAGGACCAAACAGCTCTATAATAGTCCCAAAGCCTATGGTGTTTTCTGAACGTTAATGGCAGTAATTTGAGGAAAGAAAGCTTCCTAAACTCATCTTTCTCATATTGGACTCCCGACGGTGTCGATTATTCCGTAAGCGACCAGCGAAGAGGTTAGGGTTTTCAACCAGCGACCATAAATTGAAGTTGAATCAAGCCACCATGGACGACGGTACGTACCTTGTCACAGTTGCCTCTCATCCTTTCCATTATCAGTCTAATTTTATTCACAAAATTTTCTCTATATCTATACATTTTTATGCACATATATTTGTATGTGTGTGTGTGTGTGTGTGTCTGTGTCTGTGAACTAATTCCTGATTTGATCTATTTGAGCAAGCTATTTGTTTATACCACCTGGAGAAGAAAGTGTTTGAGATTGATAGCTTAATAGAAACATCTGAACAGTTATTCGCAGTCAGAGTATTTCTTATTTTCTTTTCAAATCCCATAGATACTAAATCTTTCACTTCTAAAATTCAATCGGATTAATTACATCTCCTAATTTTGCAAAGGTTTCATGAAAGCAAAAAGGGGAAATAAACAAATTTAAAAAAATAAGCTTTTGGAGCATCAATTAGTACTATAAATCATGAAATTTAGAACACAATATAATTTCATATGAAATCCATAAAATGTCAAATTTATTTGAATAGTGAAAATTTGAGTAGAAAAAATAAATTAAAATGAAAATCAAGGTCGTCATAAGTTTATCACAGATGATTAAAAAATTCACCCATGTTGGTCTCCTTTCAGAAAAGTTAAATGAATTGTACCTATTTCTAGTCAAATTTAAATAGGCCAAGTTATTATATATACGTATATATATGTGGGTAATAAATTGGGCTATGTATATATGAGGTTCTCTTGTTCAATTACTAGTTCTTCCTAAGTGAAGTTTGTTGATTTCTACAATTGATCATCTTCGTCATATTGTTTTTTCTCATAAGATGCTTGTTTTAGAGAAGTTGATTCTTCTGCTTCAATGATTAAGCACTCACATGGAGTGTTCTTTTCCATGAAGGCCATGATTCAAGATTAGGACCTAGAGTTTCCTTGTTAATTCAGGAAATGCCTTCCTAATGTACACTATATTTTTCAGTGAATTCAATATTGTATTGCCTCAAGAACTTGTTTTGATAAAATAACTTCTTTTAGCAGCAGTGAATCCTCTCGTTCTTTAATATCCTTGCAAAGATTTGTATACTAAATCCTAAAATCCAAGGTGATTAAACAATGTCGATTATGTTATCTTCATAGATAATGCTTAAAGAGTATTAGTTCCATATGAAAAGTCCCTATTATCAACGAAAAAAGAAAGCAGTTGTAGCTTTAGAAGCACTTTTACACTTTGTCATCTAAAATTTATTGAAAATAAATTTACCCAATACATGCTAGATAATTGAAAACTTCACACTTCTTGAACACTAATTTTCCCAAGAAAAGAAAAGGAAAGGGAGAGAAAGATAGGGAAAGCCAAGGAGTGGCCTTCATATACTCGTTTAGGTATTAGAAACTTCCTCGACTTGTATGCCCTGTCATTTGCCTCATCAAATAGCCACTAGTATTTATTACGAATTTAATTAACTCATACTTCTTAAATTATTTTTGTTGCCTCGTATTAAATTTTAATGGTTTTTCTTATTTTCTTATCTTGCATATGTTCTCATACAAAGTCCTCTAAAGTGGGTGCAAAAAGAGGACTAAGAGAGAGGAATTGTATTGATGCTAACACAAGCTTGGTTGTATGGCCTAAGAAATATGTGAAAATTATACAGGTCAATTAGTCATTCATTAACTTATTATTATATTTCTTAAATTAGTCATATGATCTGATTTTTTATTTATTTGTTGGCATTACTTTTTAAAATATTTTTTTCAGACAGGATTGATTATCACCAGTTCATTAGGAGCAGAAGAATCAGAATTTCTATGATTCCATTCTATAACAAAGGTCAAATACTATGCTTCTTCATTTTTATTATCACCATGGCAATGCATTATATGCTTAAAAAGTTGATTGTTTTAAGGGGTCAGGTGCCTTAAGTGGTCATTTTTTTTATTATTATTATGCATAAATGGAGGTCGGGAAATTATTGCAAATGGAGTTTGGTTTTCATTCATCACATATTACGATGTATAGGGGGTCACGTGCCTTAAGTGGCCATATTTTTATTATTATTGTGCATAAATGGAGGTCGGGAAATTATTGCGGATGGAGTTTGGTTTTCATTCATTGCATATTATGGTGTATAGGGGGTCACGTGCCTTAAGTGACCATTTTTGCTGCTTTCCGATTTATTATTTTTATGCATGAAGGATTTCTTAGGTCTAGTAATGCTAGTTGGGTTTGATATTGGACTGAACAGAAAATTTAAATGTGATTTTATTTAATTAATACAACCAATCAAGCCAGTAGTCATCCAAACTTTAGACAGAGATTAAAGAAGAATATCAACCGTGAATCTTGAAAACACTTAATATTATAATTTGATATGTCATTAAAATGTAATGCTACCAAGAGTGACGAGTGATGCGAGAGTGATCTAGATTATAGTAGTTGGCTAAAAAGGTTTAATTAATTTTGGTGATTAAGCATTTCAAGCCCATCATTCTATGATGATGTGAAACAAAATTTCAATGGCTGTTCAACATTTTTTGAAAATGGAATGCTCATACCATATCTGCTTATACACAGTATACTACATTGTATATATATAAAACTGAGTCTCTTAATAGTTGATTAATAAAAAATAATTATAATTATGTTTAAAAAAGATTATTTTAATAAATTTATTAATAGTTGGTTCCAAAATGACCAACTATGATAGGAAGTCTTCCTCTCAGCTTCTCAATTAATGTTTTCTTAATGCATCCATTTGTTTTATCTGTTCTTGTTCAGCGGTCAGCCGATTCTGTCCACTTTAAAATCTCATTTTTAGCTATGCTTTTTTAATGCCCAATAATACCTACCTTCAATCATGCATTGCTTTATATTCATTTTATAAAATCCCAGCTTTAAACTCTATCAAGTATTCAGCATTCGGATATGTTGACATGATAACTATGTTGTAATAATAATGATGCATGGACACATAATACACACATAGATCTGTCAAGTATTGGACCATTAATTTTTGGGTTGAACCTTCTTCCTTGCACATGGGGCTTAGACTCAAACGGCCCAACACATTAGTGACTTGCTTCAAGAAACGCATCTAAACTAAATCCATAATACTACTAACAACAATGTTTTTTGGACCTAAAATACCAGCCAAAATGGCAAGCCTACTTCATTGCAATGAAGCGGACTCGATTATCATTTTTCTAATATTAATTCGTACAATGTCAAACTGAAAAGTCAATTATTTGTGACAGATAGTATGAATTCACACTATTTACACTTTTACCGATCTGAACTTTGTGATTATTGAATAATTGAAATTCAGAAGAAATTATACATTGGGACGGGACGAAATTGATTGGATGACTACTGGCTTGAATGCATGGACAACTTAAAGTTTGAAATATTGCCCAACCATGCATTTCAATGTCCAAATCAAGCCTTTGAGGAAGTTAAATGTGATTTTATTTAATTAATACAACCAAACTCCACACGTCGATGTTTTGTTCCCTAGCCTGCAAAGAGGGCTAACCCTTAAGAAAATACTAAAAATATTACTGGAAGTACATTACAAAGACAAGGGATTAATGTATAAATTAAAGGAATAAAGTATGGGAGAGAAAGGTCTTCAAGATTCCTTTAAGACTGTATTGTTAAAAAAATTATATTATCTAATTAGTATATGTTTAATAGAAAGTGATAGTTTCATGAAGGGATAGGTTTTTGTCAAAAACAATGGATCATATGCTTATTTTTGGACTGTTCTGCTATGTGATTCTCTGCTGAAAACACAATCCAATCATGGCAGAATTTGCAGCTGAGAGCAAATTAACACAACCTACTGGACTTGATTTCTTGAGGGTTTTTTTGCATCTAGTTAGTGTTTTCAGACTAGATAGAACATTATCAACCTAGTTAGGTGAAGCTTGATTATTTGTATTGCGGGTAATTTATAGTAAAAGAAAACAAAGAATATATTATTAATACACAAAACTTGTACACTGAGTAATTAGTCAGGTGATTCAAAAATGCCATGGACACCTGATCATTGAGTGTAATAAAATCCTAAATTTATGGTTCGAGTTGGCTAGAATATGTGTTCTCTTTATCTCATGAATATAAAGAGATTTTGATATTGTCTGTTCTCATACGTACTTGTAAAAATCTAGTATTCAATTAAGGAAAATTATCTGCTTGAAATATTTTTGGTAGATCTAAAGAAGAAATTCTTAACAAAATGTTTGTGTTTGATTCATAAATGATAATTTTATTCTTTCCCTTTTTTATTAGCATTCTGAATTTGAGACTTGTGTGATGCAGCTACTTCCTTGGATTTTGTATAGTAAGCTGGTTTTTTGACAAGTGCAGACTGAACTTCAAAACTGAACTTCAAGTGCTAGAAGGTTTATCAATTTTTCAACAGAAGTGTTAGGAAATTGATGCTTTTCTTGACAAATGGATTTACTTCCTGTTTTGGAACATTTTGGAACATCGATAAATGTTGAATTGTTTTGGAACATTGATAAATGATGAATTGTAAAAATGTTTTAACTCTTTTGATATGTTTAATGGGATATATTTTTTGAATTGAATATAGCTGAAAGTGATATGAATTACAGGTAGTGGATGATTGATTAACTGTCATTAATTAAATGTGTTTTATAAATATATGTGTGTGTGTATATATATATATTATTTACGGGGAGCTTAAAACCATGTAAATAAAAGGCTATATATTAGTGAAAATCCTCGTAAATAACTTTTCTATGAGATACATGGCAGCTCGTGAGAATAATTTATATTATTTATGGGCTCGTAAATAACTTTTCTATGAGATACATGGCAGCTCGTGAGAATAATTTATATTATTTATGGGTAGCTAAAATTCATCATAAAAACCTTTTCTACGACATGCTTCAATGCCTTGTGAGATTATTTACGGGTTGTTAAAATTCGCCGTAGAAAACTTTTCTACGGCATGCGTCGGTGCCTTGTGAGATTATTTACGGGTAGTTACAACTCGCTATAGAAAACTTTTCTACGGCATGCATCGGTGCCTCGTGAGATTATTTGCTGGTAGTTACAATTCGCCGTAGAAAACTTTTCTACGACATACGTCGGTGCCTCATAAGTTAATTATTAATAGAAAAATATTTATGCTGTAAATAAATTTAATATATAAATGAAATTATTTTCTACGGCGAATCTCTTATTTTTCTACGAGATAGATTTTTTTCCGTAAAAAAAATTAAGTATTTACGGAACCCTCATACACGAGGGCCTAGAATGCGCCGTGAATAAGTTTCCACGGCATTTTTGGCCCCTCATAGAAGCCCTTTTTTATTGTAGTGGAAGTCTGTATGTAGTTGAGCTACCTCTGATCTGTAGCTAGAATTTGTGCTGGTATGTGCTATCGGCTCGATAGGAGGGGCATGTGAAGGGCAAGTCTGCTGAGATGCAATAGGTACATCTGGCTGGGAGGTAGAACCTAAAGTGGTAATGCGACGTCTCTGTTTGGGGGGAGATTTATCTGTTGTATCCTCTGCAGCGTCATCTGCTACAGCTGCCTGTGTCGTTGTTCTCTGCTGATGTGTCTGTAGTCTCTTCATATCCCTGTTTGCCCTATTCTTACGGCAGGAGTTGAAAGTCTTTGTCCACCTCTGTTGATCATATGTTCTCTTATCTCTCTCTGCATTAGGCTCTAAAATCTCCTCGGGGTCAAACTGATAACCCTGGTCTAGTAGTAACTGAGTAATCAAGTGGCCAAAAGGTAAGGGCCAAGTCGTTGCTCTAGTACTGCGTATGTGATACAGGTTCTTCCAGAACTTGTGCACGAGCTCCCAAATTAGTGCAGGGATAGAAATCCAGTACCCCTGGTCTAGACAATATTGGGCCTGAAAGATCCCCTCTCGCCGTTGAGTGCCATAGCCTGTCGGAACTGCATTGAGGTGCAGCACTGAATTAAAGAACCAATATCAAAGATCAATCTCGACCCGGTATGCAAAGGTGTGCCCTTCAAATGCAGCATGTGGAGATAATGTAGCCACCATGGTCAGCTCAATGGGAAAAGGTGGAGCTGTAGGGTACATGTAACGACCTGGGTTTTGATTCAACCCGGTACTACAATGATGAACCGAAGATTGACCCGATAACGAATCTAGATGCGGAAGCAAGAAACAAAACGATGGTCTTCCAAGGCACGGAACACCTCTAAGACTCTAGGATGATCCTCCATGAGGTCACGGAACTCAAAGAAATAAGGTGCGGAAGCAAATGACCAGAAGGATGACAATTTAAGCCCCCAGGGGCAAGGTAGTCATTTTTGAAAGTATGAATTCAGGTGTCACCGAATGCACCACTAGAAAGGCAGTGAAAAACTAATCAAGATGGACTCAAGAATCGCATGATTCGGAATTCGGACGAAAGAGAAACAACAAGATGAAGAGAAACGATCAAAACCCTTTAATCAAGGGCAAAGTGGTCAATTTGCAATTAAAAAGGGAGATTTGACTCTAAATGAGTCAAATGAGGTCCACACAACCTAGTCCAATCGTTTCATAACATTCCAAAAGGTTCTAAGAACTTTGGACAAGAATCCCACGAAATGCCCTTCCCCGGTTGAGGTAAAAACTGACACCCTCTCACTAAAACTTGTATAACTCTCACCAAAATTGGATTTTGAATGCATGGTTGGTGTCATTGGAAAGTTGACTTCAAGCTCATGAATTTAGGCTCAAGAATCACCCCATTTGGGTTAGAAACAAAGAAGTTATGGCCATTCAAAATTGGAAGTTCAGTGTTGAAACTCAACAGAGGCTAGTCTCGGGATCTAGTCATTTCAGTCGACCAAAATGACCCATTGGATGACCGAAATGAAGAAAAATCATGCTGAAATCAGGTTTTTAAAGCTTGGTTGGTTCCATAAACCAAAATGAGCCATCGGTCGACCGAAATGAGCCATCGGTCGACCGAAATGACCTTAAAAGCTGAAAATGGCTACTGGAAAGTGAGGTTTTGAAACTCAATGAAAACCAAAAGGCTTCGGCCATTTCGGTTGACCGAAATGACTTGAGAAAGTGCAAAAATTTCATGTTATGCACTCAAGGCTGAAAGTCTACTTGGAATTCCCCATGGCATGTTCAATTCACATAATATGCTAGTGTGTGATAATGTGAACATGCACACAAGTGTAATATGGATATTTAAACCTATTACAATGGCCTATGGCCTCATTACATCCCATTTACAAAATTTGACATGTCAAACCTTAAAAGTTGACAAAATACATTTTAATGGCAAAACTTGAAGTTTAAATTACATACATATGAACTTAAAGGTTCGTGGCCCTTAGCCTCATGTCATACATGTCAAATACATTAAAAAGAGTGTACTTATGTACACTTTACATACGTAGAATCAAGAATACAAGTTTTGTCATGTGAAGCCACAAATCACCCAAGCAATGAAATCTTCAAATCTTGAGTCCGGTACCTAAAATATGCCCCAGTAACGTAGGGGTGAGCAATATAAAGCTACTCGTAGGAGATGAGCATGCATCGACCTAGCATTTTACAATTTATATCACCTTAAAGTGAAACATGTTAAAGGGACTCATGCCACCTAACGTCTATGTCACAATGAGACTCAGGGAGCATCCTAAGCTACCCTAGAGTACTAACAACAAGAATCATGATATATACGCATATGAAACAAGTCAAGATTTGGGACAACCTAAGAACACGACAAGAAGCATACTCGGAATCAAGAACTAGGTATAAAATCTATGCAAGTAAACAAGGATAGAATACACGACATGAAGAATAATTGAAATCAAGAACGAAGCATAATATCTATGCAAATAGATAAGGAAGGAACACTCCATAAAACACGAAAAGAAGTATACTTGAATCACGAATAAGGTATAATATCTACACTAATGACAAGATTAGAACATTAAAATTTACACGATAGGAGTTATACAAGGAATCAAGAACAAGGCCTAATGTCGATGCAAATAACAAGGTTAGGATAATCCAATTAGCAAGACAAGAGTTATACACGAAATCAGGAACAAGGCATAATATCTATGCGATTAACAAGGTTTGTGCATTTCATAAAACACGTCAAGAGGTAACATATGGAATCAAGGACAAGGCATACTATCTATACAGGTAAACAATGATAGAATATTCCATATAACATGACAATAAGTATACTTGGATATAAGTTAACAAGAATTGCGTTATCAATGCAATTTACATGGTTGGACTATACCAATTTACATGTCATGAAGTATACTTGAAATCACGAATGATGCATAATATCTATGCAATTAACAAGATTGGAGCATTTCACATAATACAACAAGTTTTAAATCTTCAAGGAATATCAACTTGAAATTTAAAGAGTGAAATCAGCCATTGTGGAAACTTGGATATCGCCCGGATTAAAACCGTACTCTTGGGATCACTTTAGGGTTACCAGCCCAAGGGTACCTTCCCCTAGTCTTGGGATCACTTTAGGGATTATCAACCCAAGGGTACCTTCCCCTATTCTTGGGATCACTTTAGGGATTATCACCCAAGGGTACCTTTCCGTATTCTTGGGATCACTTTAAGGATTATCACCCAAGGGTACCTTCCCCTATTCTTGATTGATATCCCAAGTCCCAAAATCAACAAGTTGTGCAAGTCAAGATTGTATCAAAATACTATAAACACATTAACCACGTCTCATGCACAACCAAGATTGTGAAACATACAAGTCATGCCCTAAGTTCGCATTAATATGATATGATGAATGTCGAATCTTCAGTGTGCGATTCGTTACACGCTATGCATGAAGGATGTTTAATGCGAAGTGTACAAATCATTACACAAGGCAAGTCCAATGTCAAGTTACAAGTTCGTTCTAAGCAAGATACAACCATGTGAATTAAGTTTCATACAAAGGAATTAATTAAATATAAGTTTCAAAACTTATCCGATTATTCTCGATTAGATACACGTGAATGAACTTGTCTAGAAAATCATGAATACAAGGTTAGAAACTGAATCAAGACCAATGAACCATGAGATGGATTTTAATTACTTCGTTTAATTAAAATCTCTAGGTTTTGAAATTCATCTAAATGATCTTAAATTAGTATATGTTATACAACATGCCAAGACTTGATTTAAAAACACGACACAAGTGAATTCCATGCAAGAGAAGACCACGAGTATTAAACTTTAATACTAGAAAATAAATAAATGAAAGGTTTCAAAACCTAATCAAATATTCTAGATTTAATATATGTGAAACCATATAGCATGCATATCAAGAATGTCAAGTCGGAATTCCAATGGGGTGAATAGTACACCCGGAGCAAATTAATTAATCAAATTAATTAATAAATACTAGATTTCAAAACAATTCCGACTACTCTCAATTTAATCTATGTTGAGGAGCATACTTGTAATACCCCTAATTTTAAAAGGATAGTCTTGGCATTTATTTATTATTATTTTTTATTGTATTTTTCGTGATTATTTGGTTTAATTATTTTTATTTATTGATTTGATTTAATTGGGTTATTTAATTGGAATTAATTAGTTAAGTGTATTTAATTATTTAATTGGAT